CTTGGTTAAGATGAATCAAGTTCAGAGTGGAAGGAGCCACACACAAGGGTGAAGATAGGAAAGCATGTTCACTGAAGGCCATCCATAGAGTCTGCCTAATGCATTGTATTAAGTGCATTCATTTAAAAAGGCATTTCCAGTTCCAGTTGCCCATGGATAATGAGGACCTCCTGCAGCTGTAATCACTTTGGTGGGCATGTCCAAAAGCCTAATGAGTTCTGATGTCAATCGCAACAGTCAATCTACTTTTAACAATCACAGGCCTGAAGTGAAGGCATTCATTTTTAAGCAAATTAGAGCCTCCATTTGATTCATACACTTCAACCCCCTATTGTTAGTTTTTTAAAAGAACAAGTTTAGGTTCATTTGCCTAAGGATACTAAGCAAATATTTGGAAAATAATTCAAAGTTTGATGTACAATAATAATTCCACACATTTGTAGGGTGCTTTATAATTTAAATAGTGCCTTTAAGTATCATCTTATTTGCTTTTTATATCTTATGTGGTAGGTCAGGCAGGTTTTATTCTAGTTTTCAAGTGAGGAAAATAAGAAGCTTCATCAGAAGCTTTTAAATTTTCCACAGTCACACAGTAAGGAAACAGTGAAGCCAAGACCCTAAATTTCTGGTTCTTTCAAACCATTCATTCCTTCTAGAGCTCTCTTTAAAAATTTAAAGCCCCCGAAACTGAAATCCAACTCTCCCATTACATGTATATGTATGTCTGTACACGTATAGAAAATGCACATTTGAAACACCATTCTTAAAGAATGTTTCAGTGATAGTATCTATAGAAGGCCAATAAAATCCACTTCAAGTTAAAGGACCCCACAGAAGCACAGATGTTTTTGAAAAGTCAACTGACTGAACCTCTCCATTACACAGATAGGAAAAAACATGCCCAAAGTGACACACAGTTATTTAATGGAAGAGCTACAAGAACTCTTGACTCTGAACCCAACTCTTCTTCCACCTAGACCTGGCCCCCTTAAGAGCAGACTTCCAAATGAAATTGTGTGAGAAATATGGACCTTTCATGCTTTTAACACATTAGGAATTAAAAGTAACAACAATTTAAAGTTCTTTATTAACAAAATAAAGTGACATACCCACTATAAGATTTCTTCAAAATATTGCTGTTTCTAGGTAACAACCAATTGCTAGGAATCCATGGGACAAAATTCTTTTTATAGAAAATTGAGAGATGCTGGGTGTTATGGAGCACAACTGTAGTCCCAGCAACTCAGGGGACTGAGGCAGAAGGATTGCAAGTTTAAGGCCAGCCTCAGAAATTTAGGATCTAAGCATCTTAGTGAGACCCTGTTTCAAAATAAAAAATAAAAAGAACTAGGGATATGGCTCAGTGGTTAAGTACCCCAAGACTCCATCCCTAGTACCAAAAAAAAAAAAAAAAACCAAAAAGTGAGGTCTCACCTCAGTGTGTAGGGTTCTTGGTGGAAGGATGAGACATACCTGTTGTATCTGGCAACTAGGTAACTGTCTCATTCTCAGGACTATATGTTAGTAGTGAAATCAAGATATGGACCTGAAACATTTTGACAGCATTGAGTGTGGAAACTTCTTCTGAGAGGTAGAAGGGCTGAGATCAGATCTTGGCTTTTCAACTTAGGAAAAACAAAATGTCAGGTTTTTGCCAGTATTTTGACAATACTATTCCACTTGTCCCAACTCTAGGCTGTGACTCCAGTAAATAATGAATATGTTACATTCTGACCTAAGCAGAGATGCTGTTTTCTTCTTCCCATTGCCTCCCTCCTTTCCTACTTTTCTTTATTTTTTTTAAAAAAAATACTTATTTAGTTGTAGATAGACACATATCTTTATTTTTTCATTTTAATGTGGTGCTGAGGATCGAACCCAGTGTCTCACATGTGCAAGGCAGGCGCTCTACCACTGAGCGATAGCCCCAGCCCTCCTCCTTTTCTTTTTAAAATAAAAACATATTTGTATTTAGTTTACCAAAAGGCAACAAATTGAAGAAATCAGTAGTACCAGTTACCAGAATCCACATTGTGTGCTGACTTGAAGGGTTGACCAGATGGCCCATATTTGACTGACCTGAAGAATCAATTTTTGCTGTCTCCACTGATGTCATAAGCTGATTCCTTAGTTAAGCACTCTGATATCTTTTCCAGCTTGTCTAACAATAATATCCCCAGATTGTCACTTTCTCAGCCAAATGGGAAAAAAAAAACCCTCAGGAATGAAACCCACCATTTTCCTCTGAATATAAGATACGAGCTGTCCATTTGTATCTCTGAGCAGTTTTGTTTTATTTGTGTCACAGTTTGCAGAACTTGCTGGGCCGGGTCCCCTTATTGTTTTGTGTACCAAAGAGGTTGGATTTCTTTCTCTTTATCTGGGCATAGTTTTTTTGAAAAGTGTTTAATATTAAAACAGTAAATCTGCATGCAGTAGAACTATTTCATCATAAATATCTGAGAAACTGAAAGTGCGGTGACTGCATACACAGAGGGACTCCTGGTGTCGCCCTTGTTCAGCAACCAGACCCATGCTGTTTGGGAGAAGACCTGTCACAGATCTGAACCTGCATGATGAAAGTATTCAAACAAGCTTTAAAAAATATTATACAGTTTAAAAAATATTTTTGTCACAAATCAAATGTCAGCTTTAAGTGCAGTGTTTATGGAGTGCTGCTGTACTGCGTGATGTAACACATAAAAAAATAGAAGTACTGATATATTTGGACCATTTATTTGAAGTATACTTTTTTAGTAGCAGCAAGTCATCAAGAAAGTCCAGTTAGAAAGTTCCATCTGCTCTACCTTTTCCTGCTTCTGCTTTTTTGCCATCTCCAATGATGTCACCTCAGACCAAGCCACCTCCTGATCTTCTCCTGGTTGATAGCAGTACCCTGTGGATCTCTGTGCAGGCTCCCTTGGATTCTCATCCATCCCTTCCCCACAGAGCTACCAGAATTTTCACTCCATCTCTTCTCCCATGCCAAAGTCTGAAATGCCTGCCCATTTTTTATCAGCAAGGGTTTGTTCATGGAAACAACTGAGTGAAATGAAACAAGGGATTTGGGATAGGGATTAAGACTTCCAGTTGTGGAACAAGTTGGGGGAGTTAACTGCAAAGCAATTCACTAAAACTCAGTTTGATAAGTTAAGTTCTGTAGCTACAACTGCAAGACAAGTACCTTCAACCAGGTCTAGGGCTACTGCAGCAGAGACATGAGCAGGAGAAGAACATTGTCTACAAAATTGAGTGGAAGATATATATGAAGTATTGCATTTAAAAGAAATCTAACATATCAAGTATGCCGAGTTCTGAAAGTCCTCCCCTCTTCAATGTGAAATGCAACTGAAATGCACATTCAAGCTAACTATACAGACCAATCTTAAGCCTGATGGCCCAGTTTTGCAATAACTGTGGCCAAATCTCTGTGAAGCTAAAACTAAAATTTTCTCCAAAGTTCCCCCTCCTGCTGAATCTTCAGCTATTAGGCAACTAACTTTTCTACATATTTCATAAAAGTTGGGATTACACATATACTTTTGAAACAGTCAAATTCTACTAATTGTCAAACAGTCAAATTCTACTAATTGGCTTAAAATTGTGTTATAATAGTTGTACTGTTAGGTTCTCTGATTCTCCTCCTCCTGTCCTTTTTGTTTTAATATGTTTTTTTAAATTTTTTTATTCTAGAATCATCAGGATTAGAAGGGTTATTATCTTAGGTCAAGTTGTAATAGAAATTTCCAACTATCCTCTGTCTTCCAGATGGTTCATCTTTCACATTTGAAGTGCAACCAAGCTTTTGGTTACATCTTGACAGCTCCAGCTATCCCTGTTCCCACTAGCATAGTTATGTGCAATACCAAAGCTTCCCAGAGATGCTGGGGAATATGCCCAAAGTCTCCCTTTCTTGTTGGTGGTCACTCCTGTCTGCACAGCTGTGCACTGCTGCTCTCATCATTCATGAGTTCCCTCCTGGTTCTGTGAACTCATCTCTGTGGTGGAAGGTCCTGAACAGCCACAGACCCATTTGTTAAAAAGAGAGCAACTTCCAGGCTAAATACAAGCAGAAAAGGGCTCTCCTGGTGCACAGGAATCATGAATTCTAGGTGTGTACTTTATCCCATTTGCAGACACACTCTGACTTGAAGCAATGTTGGCCAGTTTGTTCTTTAATCTTCCTTTATCCTTTGAGCGTGTGTTACATTGTGTATGATCATAGGAGGAGCCAACTAACAAGCTCTGTCTGAGAGCATTAGAGGAGGTTCCCAGAAGGGATGACATTTCTTAAGTGATTTTGTTTTTCACAAAGACTCACAGCTTGTGAGCTTGAAATGTAACCACATTGCTCTTTCAAATATACATCAATTAAATATGCAGTTTGGTACTTTTCTAGTAAAAATGGGGATGTTTTATCAGTTGATCCTAATTTCAACCCTTCTGTGGCTCTCTGAAACACATATGTGACACCAACAGCCAGAAGGAAAAAAACAACAAATTAATCCATTTTGGAGGATTGGATCTATCATTAGTGGTGCTATGATGTAATCCACTGAAGGAATAAAAGGCATGCTCATTGCTCCTGATAACAAGGAGTCATTGAACAGTACTTGCCTAGATGTCATCAGTGGCCACCACGTGAATGGCCTGGCTATTAGAGGCTTGGCTTGTAGAGGAGCGCCATCAAACAGGGCTTAGTGGACACATTAGTCACAAGTTCCTAAGTGCTCTATCAGAATGTCTAAGTCAGATTGGGTGCAGTGGTGCACACCTGTGATCCCAGTGGCTTGGGAGTCTGAGGAAGAAGAATCAAAAGTTCAAGGCCAGCCTCAGCAACTCAGCAAGGCCTGAAGCAATTTAGTTAGTAAGACCCTATCTCAGAAAATTGAAAGGGCTAGGGATGTGGCTCAGTGATTGAGCACCCTTGAGTTTGATCCCTGGTAAAAAAAAAAAAAAAAAAAAAAAAACAATGTCTAAATCAGGTACTTCCATGGATACCAATATAGCTCAAACATCTATGTTCAAGATAATTTCAGTGACTGTAAGTAAACTGACCTATAACTTTATAACCCTCCTTCCCTGACCTCGAACTGTGTTTTCACCTTGTCTCTGTATGCACTCTATACCGATTACAATTTTTCCACAGTTCCCCCAAATCATCAACCTCTTCTTGTGAAAAGAAACAACCCAAGAAATGCAAACTAGTTCTTAGACCCAGAGGAAAGAGCTGGGATTTGTTGGCATGGGCTGTTCTCCAAACACTTCGACAGGTATTTCTACCTGGATTATCTCATCTCACTTAATTCTTAGGACAAACTATGAAATTCACATTGTTATTCTCATTTGCTGATCAGAAAACAGGTGCTCAGAACATCAAACAAGGCCTTCAAAGGGTGGTGGGGAAAAATAATGATTTCAGATTTCCTTGCGTATGAACAGTTTCAGAGCTTTCAAAAACACTCTCCTCTCAGTTCCCAGTCAATTTTTTCCACCATCCTCTGAACGTGTCTGGCTGGTGCTCGGCATGGAACATCCTTTCTCGCAGTGGTTTTGCTCTTGGCCACGTGGGTGTCTGGAGGCACCACTTTCCGCAGCACCTTTTTATTTGCCAGCCCTGTCCCTTCCCTTAGGAAATGTACTTTTAACAGGAAAGTGCTGGAACTGGGATTCATGCTGTCACTGATAGAAACTTGGTGAATACTTAATTTGTGTAAAAATGGAAGGATGTAAGAGGATAAAGAGGTCTGTGCTCTTTTTTAGGACACCCAGTTTCAGTATCAATGGCATCACAGTTGCTTTCGTTATGACAAAAAAATTTTTTTGCTTTTAAGTATTTTTGAAGTGTTTCTTTCTGTATGCCCTAGACAATAAGCCACCGCAGGTAGAGGGATCTCATGATTAAACCCAGGTGTACTTTCCCTCTCCCCTCGGCTGTTCTGGGGACATCCTCTCTGAAACCACGCAGGCTAGCGGTCTCATCTTATGTTTCTTTATTGCTCCAATTTCTGGTGCTTACTGGACCTTCAACAGAAGTTTGTTCACGTAGATTGCAAATGAACAATAAAATAATTGGTAGCTTCAGCACACTTAACTTTAGCTGAAAACTGATGAAACAGTACTGACAGATGGCTGGTTTTGATGCAAACTATTGATTACGAAGAGTTGTGGGGTTTTTGTTGCTGTTTGTTTTGATTTTGTGTTTGCACTGCTGGGAATTGAACCTAAGGCCTCCTGGAGGCTAGACACATGACCTGCACTATCCAGCCATGAAGATTTTTTAAAATGATTATTGTTGGATTATCCAAAAATGCATAACTATAACTAATGAAATTTAATTCGGTTAAAAAACAAATGTGAGTCAGATGTGGCGGCACACTTCTGTAGTCCCAGGGGCTTGGGAGGCTGAAGCAGGAGGAATCGACAGTTCAAAGCCAGCCTCAGCAACTTAGTGAGGCCCCAAGCAACTCAGCAAGATCCTGTCTTTAAATAAAATATTAAAAGGGCTGGAGGTGTGGCTCAGTGGTAAAACTCCTCTGGGTTCAATCCCCAGTACCAAGAAAATAAAAAAATAATGTGTGTTGAATATCAAGAAATATTTCCAAGAGTTGAAGTTGGGACTAAATCAAACAGAGGCAAAGTTTCAGTGGAAGTGGAGGGGACGCGTGATACCTCTCATGGTGCTCAGAGCTGCACAGGGGTGGACTCTGACTTTGGCAGGATGATGAGTGAGGTTGATTCTCTTTTTCACATGGGTATATGTTCACAGCCCCCTACTCCCTATGGGTACATGTGTGTTAAGTTTTCTGGTTATTGGTTTTTTTTCTCCCCCCCTCCCAGGAGACAATCCTTTCAGAGCATCTCCTGGTGGTACCATCAGAAATGTCTTCCTTAAGTGGGAAAGTGCAAACTGTTTTGGGCCTTGTGGAACCAAGCAAACTGGGCCGCACTCTGACCCATGAACATTTGACAATGACCTTCGATTGCTCTTTCTGCCCACCTTCTCCCTGCCATGAAGCTATCTCTAAGGAACCGATCATGATGAAGAATTTATTTTGGATTCAGAATAATCCTTATTCCCATAAAGAGAACCTTCAGCTGAATCAGGAGACAGAAGCCATAAAGGAAGAATTGTTGTATTTTAAAGCTAAAGGTGGAGGGGCCGTGGTAGAGAACACGACCACCGGGATTAGCAGAGACGTGCAGACGTTGAAGCGGCTTGCCGAACAGACTGGAGTCCACATCATAGCTGGAGCTGGATTTTATGTGGATGCAACTCACTCTGCAGAGACCAGAGCCATGTCAGTGGAGCAGGTAAAAAGCATTAAGCTCTTTGACAGTGTTTGTGTTTCAATTAAGAATAGCCCAAACCTTGGATATGCCATTGACTCAGAAGTAGTGGGCATGCAGCAAAAATTTGCTAACTAGCAAAGGCATCTGCCAATTGAGCCTTTAATTAATAACCTTTTATTTCATAAAGAAAAAGTTTAGAAGAAGGACATCTTAATGCTTTAGTCATTAAGAAACTGTTCCTATTAATGCTTAGATTTAAGTTTACCATATCAGTCCTCAGCAGCGGCACCACAATCTATTTGTAAACCTCACTTTTCCCTTATAAGCTTCAGTTATGCAACCTTGATTTTTTTTCCCCCTGGATTTTGTAATAACCAGCAATGAAAATTCACTGTAGGGTGAAACTTGGCAGGCAGAGACTTGGCACTTTTGCAAATATGTTTCCTTCTCTTTTTACAAAACAGGAGGGGTGGGAGAAAATCCATTCTCCTGTTCTTGTCATAATATGATCTTAAGCAAGAATGGGCAGAAGGAAGAAAATCTTTCATGAAAAAATAGCTGCAAATATGCGGCAAAGCTTTTTTTGCACACGTTTGGGCTCTTTCTAAATGCACACAAGTCTGTTTACATGTGTTTATGCCAATAGGTAATATTCATGTGTGTCTTTCATTACATGTGCATTTGAAGTTTTTACAAAGGATCACTGAAAATTTAAAATTACTTGTATTTGAAATATTCATCTGTATTATTTTCTAATTAGAATTTTATTTTTAATATACTTATATTATTTAAAGACTAAGTTGAAGACAGGGATTATGTCTGACAAACCACTCTTACACATTAATATACATGTGAACTAAAATGTGTCATATTGGTATTGTGTGCTGACAGTACTGAATAAGAGAGAGAAATAAAGAATTCCTTGATTCAGTCAACATATATTCAGTGCCATTCATAGATGCTGCTTCCAGATTAAATTATAGATTTTTCTCCAACTGAATGTACTCTCATAGAGTCACTTTTTTTTTTCCTTTTGCTTCCTCGAGCTGTGAATTTCTTGTGAAATAATCACAGTAGGATGTTATTGAATCTTAAATTTAGAATAACTTGTTGAATGTGCGTGCTATTTGCCCAACAAAATACCTTTCTCACTGGCCAATATTAATTGAATAAATATTGAATATGCTTTTAAAAGAATGTGTGACTGAATAAATGGATTCATTCATGTCCTATGATGAATTTATTTTGATAAATTCCACCATCAATAAAGCATGTTCACTCCCACTTGCTTAGCTTACTGATGTCCTTATTAATGAAATTCTCCATGGAGCTGATGGAACCAGTATCAAGTGTGGCGTTATTGGAGAAATTGGTTGCTCCTGGCCTTTGACAGAGAGTGAAAGAAAGGTTCTGCAGGCAACAGCTCACGCGCAGGCTCAGCTTGGCTGTCCTGTTACAATCCATCCTGGACGGAATTCAAGTGCACCATTTCAGATTATCCGAGTATTGCAAGAAGCTGGTGCAGACATGTCGAAAACAGTTATGGGCCACCTTGATAGGTAAGTGGGCTATCTTACAAACTAGTGTAAACCACCCTATGATTAATGGAGAATTGACATTTAAAAATCATCAGTAATAAAATCAATGGACTACTACTCAAAGATAGTATTAATAAAGTGTTACAAACTAGCATAAATAAAAGTCAAACCTGCCATTTTTGTGTCCCCCACCCCAGTTTCAGATAGTATCAGCATTAGTGTTCATGGGTCTTTCTTTTAGCTTACTTAATCATATATAGCTTTACATAGTAGATGTCACTGTCTACTTCATTTCTTTATCTTACGGTATGATATCACAATAGTTGCCGTTTCTACCCGTCTGATGCTTGTCAGTAGTTGGGATAATAAATATATCCACAAAGATAAAGGGAGAGAAATTCAATGGTTTTACCTTGGGAAGAACCACTACTATAAATGCTTATGTTTGCACACCTATTTATGATTTGAATATGATTTGGAAAATGAAATTATAAAACATAAGATTAGTGAATGTGGTATCTGATAATACAGTGTATTAGTTTCTCATAGTGGCTTTAATGAATTATAAGACGCCAGGCACCTTGAAATAACAGAAATTTAATCTCTTACTATTCTGAAGACAGAAGTCTAAAATCAAAGTGTTGATGTGACCCCCAAAGGTGACAGGAGACAATCCTTCTTGGCTTTGTCCATTGTCTGGTAAATCTGGCTGTTCCTTACCTTGTATCTGCACAGGTGTAGTTTCTGCCTCTCTCTTCACATGGCCCTCTCCTCTGTGTGTGTCATTTCTAAGGACATTTGTCATTAGACTTATGGGCTACCCAGATGATCTGCTCAGGGCCCACTCAGATAGTCAAAGTCCTTAACTTAATTATATCCAAAAAGATCATTTTCCCAAATAAGGTCACTTTCAGGGGTTCCAAGGGTTAGATTATGTCTATGTGATTTTGAGGATCCACCACTCAAACCCTTTTATGCTATATTAGATGCATAGGGGCCAGCAAACAAATGCCCACATGAACAGGTGTTGGCTACCATTAATTTTATGAACAAACCTAATAGTGTTGCCAAGGCTAGTCTTAAGTGAGTAGATTAGATTATTTTAAAAAATTAACAAATATTAGGGAGTCTAATAATATATTGTATTTAGTTCTATCTTGCATTTTGGAATAAAGCCATATTAACAGATTGATAAATCCAGATCATCAGTCCTGACATTCTGATATTTAATAAATGAACAGACCTACAGAATGTCTTGATAAAATGCTTCCACTTAATAGAAATATTGCAAAATACTGTACAGAAAAGAATAAACAAGTTATAATTGTTGCAGAACAGAGAAGCCAATAATAAATGGAGAAACTGAGGAACAGCTAGGTAAAGGTAGAACTCCTGGCAACTGGGTTGGTATCCAGATCCATACTTGACTATCTTCGGGAATCTTCTAGTTGTACTCATAAAACAGTGGGGTGAGTCTAAATACTGGTCATAGAGGTGATGTGGCATAAAATAAAGACTAGAATCCTTGGACCCAGAGAGACCTTTAAATCATAACTTTACCATTTGTTGTGAGATCTTGGGTGGCTTCATTTGAATTTAAAACAATGTATTTCTGGGCACAGTGACAGGTCGTCTATATTGATTTCCTGTAGTTCTAGCTACTCAGGAGGCTGAGGTGGAAAGATTGCTTGAGCCCAGGGATTTGAGACTAGACTGGGCAACAGAGAGAAGTATCTCTAAATAAACAAATAAATAAAACCAATTGCTCAAATATTCTGAATGCCTACTGATTTTTTTACTCTGATCTATTGATTACTGATCTACTGATTACTAATAATATATTGAAGTCTCTCATGATGGATTTTTGTTTCCTTCTTGTACATACTTCATATTTTGAAGGTGTATTGTTGTAGGCACACAAATTGTTATGTCTTTCTAAATCTTGTATCAAAATATGTTGAGCAGTCTTACATCTAGTAATGCAAGTGATGGTTTATGCTTCAAAGGCTGTTTTGTCTACTAATGTAAATTCTACCACAAATATTTTGTTATTGCAAAAATTTTTGTGTTAGCATTGCACTTACATTTTTCTTCATATCACACTTTCCACATTTCAGAGTCCTCATGTTCTAGTTGTGTCTTATATACAGAACCTGTGGCTGGTTTGGTGTTTACCTATTCACACATTATTTCTCTTTTTAGTGGAGAAATCTGTCTATTTTCATAGACTGTTTACTAATAGGCTTGTTCTAGGTTTTTTTTCAGAGTTAGTTATTCTTTCTTGATTTCTTTTTATTACTTATTTCCCTCATTAGTCCTTACTAATTACTAATCACTATTTCTAGTCTATATCAAATTTTAAATCTAATAAATATTTTTGCCCTTCTTTCTAATGATATAATACCCATGGAATCCTCAATTCTATTAACCATATAAGGTAGATGTTATTTTTTTCCAGGATGTTGAGTTGGCCTGATTGTTTTAAGCCCAGTGATTAGACATTATTTTGCTATTATAAAGCATATAAATGGTCCATGTTTATCAAGCTTAATCTTTCTATTTGCTATTTTCTTTGCTCGCTGTTCCTTCTTGCATCTAAGCATCTTAGGTCTTCATTCTGTAATTACTTTTTTTCCTGAAGTACATTCATTTGATATTCTTTCAGTGAAGGCCTGTCATAATATTTAGCTTTCATTTATCTGAAAATGTCCTTATTCTTTTGTTCACAATAGATGACGTCATAAAATTTGTTAATGCAAATAAATAATTACATTTACAAGGTATTTTGTAAGCCCTTGAAAGATATTCCATTTTCAACTGACATACATTGTTCCTGTTGATAAGTGAGCTGAAACTAGCTCTTCCTTTGAAGTTCTCTGTCTTTTCCTTCAACATCCTCCTTTCTGGTATTCTGCATTTTTGCCATGATCTAAAATCAGTGCAAATTTCTTTTTATTGTATAATTGGTATTGCCTGTAATTCCTGAAGATGAGGATGTATTTTTTTATTGTTTCTCCAAATACTGCTTCACTCACATGTTCTTTATTATTTGCATCTAGATGTAAGACTTTCTTACCTACCCTTCATAACTTTTAACATCTCTCTCATATTTCCATTCATTTGCATCTTTGAGCTGTCATTTCTCCAGTTCTTTCTTCCTATTTATTAATTTTCTTTCTAGCAGAATCAATCCACTGCTTCCCCTATCTGGTTCATGAGATTAAGACACAATTTTTCTTTTACTCATTAAATTCTACTTAGTTCTTTTTCAAGTCGGCTTGGTTACATTTGCTGATTTGTTATTCCAACATGTTTTCAATTAAATCTTTAAAAATATTTAACATCCAATATTTAGCTTATAATTGATAACTCTGATTTCTATCTTTTTAAACTACTGTAATCACTATGGCAAACTATAAAGTGTGTTTGTTCTTCTGGAGTCATTCATTTAAGATTATTTCCTTGCATGCCAGAATGTTTTTTCTTATCAGCACGCTCAGATTCTGTGGAAATTATGAGAAGTGGGTTGGTTGTGTTTCTTTCTTCTTCTTGTGGCTGGTTTCATGGCTGTTCATTTTGATTGTTTGTGGAAGGCAATTAGGAGGCTTGACCAAGCTGAGACTGCTTTAAACTAAATTTAAAGAAATTTGAAATTTTTAAAATTTTGGTAAAATATACATGACACAAAATTAACCATCTTAAACATTGTGCAGTGGGCAGACGGTTCCATTGCATGAAGTAGATTCCCTGCCACATCCTGTGGCAAGTATCATTCTATGTTCCATCTCTATGAATCTGACTGCCCTACTGTCTCAAAGAACTGGAGTCACACAAAGATTTTTGCAATGTTTTAAACTCAATTTTTTACTTGAGGGATTTAGACTCATGTGCTGATTTGAATCCCTGAGCTTGGAGCTTGGTGAGTGCTTTGTGGTTATGGATTCTCTTTTGGGGGGAGGGGTGCGGGGCAGGGGAGGTGGTACCAAGGATTGAACTCAGGGACATTAGACCACTGATCCACATCCCCAGGCCTATTTTGTATTTTATTTAGAGTCAAGGTCTCACTGAGTTGCTTAGCACCTTGCTTTTGCTAATGCTGGCTTTAAACTCCTAATCCTCCTGCCTCAGCCTCCCAAGCCACTGGTATTACAGGCGTATGGCACCCCCCTACACCCCCTGCCTCTGTGGTTATGGATTCTGAAGAGAGTCCCCCAACCATCCACTCTGCCTCCCTCCCTTTCACCAGAAGACAGACTGAGAAAGACCTATAATCTCTACACAGAGATCTTCGCGCCAAGCTTTTATCTAGTTCATCCACAAGGTGCTGTCTTTGGGTGAAGGGCAGCTCCCTGTGTGTATCTGCACTTTGATCTCCTTCCCTGTTTAGTGCCAACTCTGTCTCATGTGACTCATTAATAACCCCTAAAGCAATGCTAGATCTCGCTTTGGTCCACACTTGATCATCTTTCCCGTTGTTCTTACCTCCTGAGCAAGTCTTAACTTCTCAATCACTCAACCAATCATTTAAAAATATGGGTGTTTTTCTCTTCAATTTTATTTAGTATTTTATATGTACTCTGCTGGAAAGGTTTTCTGTGAATGTTTAGTCTGCCATACTGCTTGAAACTGGCTCAAGATGCTTCTTAAAGAAGAATTTTATTCTCCCTATCTATTTACAATTGGAAGTATATATGAGTTAGAAAATTATGCTTGGCATAAATAGAAAATAAGCTATCATAGTAAATTGTGAAATAAACCTTAGCTCCTACCACAGTAATATTTCCTGGCTCATAAAATCAAACAATGTATAAAGTACAAGTGTTCATTTCCTAGGACATACATATATGTGCACACCATACCTGTACATACATTAAATAAATGACATGAATATACATAGAAATGTACACATATTTTTTTCTTTTAAAGGTATGTTACCTTATTTCCACTGGTTGCAATTTCAATATTTCCCTCTTGGATGGCTCAGGATTGAGTGGAATGATTGATCTGATATCACACAAACT